AAGAAATGTCCTTCTCTGCCGGTGCAGACTGGCTATTGTCCAAAGGACTTTTTCAGACAGATATTCGTCAGTCAAGTTACTTTCCTGCTACCCCCTTCTCTCCTTCATCATCTATCTCGTCATTTTCTTCTTCTCCTGCATCTGATTCAGCCGAGCACATGTTACCAGCTTCTATTTCATCATCCAGTCACTTGGCCACGCCAGTGGTGACCGCATCTGCGACGGCGTCTGGTCTTCTCGCATCCAGTTCGTTATCCGCTCTTGAACCATTGAGCCATCCGGCTTTGGAGACTACTTTCTCCGGATTTCACCAAAAGCCCATGAAACATGATGATGTTGTCCCTATTTCTGTAACTTGTCCTCAAAAGCCTCATCAGCAATTTCACAATTATACGCATTCTGATAATTCTTCGATCTGTGAAAGCACTCAGTGTCTACCATTCAATTGGACATCGGGTTCACGTCTTGCTGGTTGCTGGCCGGCTCCTAGTTCGACGGGACGAAGCTTAGGTGATTCTCCTGATCGTCAGCTTCATACGCCCCATTCTGTCTCACCCGTCGGTTGTTCCAACTCAGCAGGGTCCGTTACTCGGCCGCCCCTAGCCAAATGGCGCCGAGCGTGCAGTTTCTATTTGCGCGGACATTGCAAAAAAGAGGACTGCGAATTCGCTCACGATCTGAGCAAAGTGACATGTAAATTTTGGGAGGCAGGCGAATGCTTCAAAGGGGACACTTGTCCCTTTTTGCATGGTTATCCCGTTGAGCAGATTAATGACTCCAATGGAGGTTTCCCGCAACCAGATACTTCCTCTGCTTGCTGGACAGCCTGTGTATCGCCTGCATCTTCTTCGATTGGTCGCTTGGATGACATGGCTGAATTGCCTCCTCCCGGCAATGTTGATGAACTGAATGCAAGTTCATCACTCATCTCACTGTCATGTGACCAGTCACAATCTCACATTTTTGGTCACATGATGTATCCTTCTACAAGCGTTGCCCAGAATTTCAATAATCCTTCTACTATTCTCTCCAATCACTCTCATTATACACAGTCGAATCAAACTCAACACCAGCACCAACATAACAAACCAGGCACTCGCAGCTATTCGGGTCCTTTTGGAATTAGGAGCGGCGGGTTTGGCTGTAGCCGTCAGATTCCGATATTTGACCTTATGATTCAACCTTCAATATAATCCTTCTTGGACCCTTGTCTCTATTTTCCTCTTTTCCATCTTCTCGAAAATTGTATGCCTTCTGCCTGTCTAATGATTCATTTTATCAAACTACTTTTCATTGCATTCATTTTTTGAGGTTATTTGATTTTGTCATTTTTATCTTCTTTTACAAAGACATACGATACACACTTTGACAACAATAGCTTGTAATTTAAATCGTTTTGCTTCGAGTACCATCTACAAAATTCTGATTCATTCGATAAATCCACCCATTTTGTGTCTATGCTAACGAATATTCTATATACCTCCACCCAAGGGATCGACAAAAATGCATGTATTTTCGCTTTCTGCTGGTTGAGACGAAACTTTCTGGATTTCATAATGTACGTTCAGCACGGCTGCATTTTAGATTGGACGACGGATTATCGCATGGATCTTCTTCCATCTAGCCGAAAGGGTGACTACTGGACTTCGTCTCACCTCTGACCTGTCAACCATAACGTTGATAGTTTGGCTTTAGATGCATTCGACCCGGATAGACCCAAGAGAATTCCTATTTAGTATAATCTAGGTGAAAAAAGAATAAGCTTGACTAGTAAGTTTGTAGTCCTGCCTAGATTAAGTTCGTCCCTCGTTTTAACTTTTCTTGGGCCTTATTCAATGCGTTCTTGGAGTGTGATATATTTCGATTACATGCTCTTTAATTATATATTTACTGTTTTCGAATACGATCTGGCCAATTATATTGTGGCTCGAACTAAGCAAGAGGTTAAAACTAATTCCTCATAAATTAAAAAAATTTCGTTATTTCTCAAGTGAGGTATATTTCCCAAGATTATCTAGTTATTATTACTTTATGACTATTCCTGGGAAAGTTTCCTTTATTTCACCATACTTTTAATTTAATTTTTTTATGCTATTTATTTCCTGATTCATTTGCTGTCACCCAACTGTCAAAACAAATTTGACGCTGAATTTTCTTATCTTATACTTAAACATGTATATATATCTTGTTAATTGACCTTTTGTAAAGGATCGTCTCTTGTAGTTCTCCTTTCCATC